GAATAATTTAAAAAATTTCTTTAAAAATTCCTTTATAAAAGGTATAATATTAAAAACCCTATTGGGCTTCATCAGTTGCTATTAACAAGAACCTCGTAGACACTTCATCTCAGGACAAGCAACCTCCAGTGGAGTCTTACGTTGCCATGTTATCCATTCCTATTGTAACTTAAACATTATAGTTTATAAAGTTTAATCCTCCTCCTCAGTCCTAATCCTAATACTTTTTGGAATGTGGTGACACTATCAGGTTTTTACAGTTTTTCACGATTTCCCTCCATCCTTCTTTGTCCTGGGCTAGTTGTTCGGCTTCATGTAACCCTTAGTTGGAAAGATGAAAGTGGATGTGGTCCAGTCGTTGGGCCACTCTCCGGTTTTCCCACAACTTTTTGCTTTATAAAGTTTAATAATGTAATTCAAAGTATACAATATTTAAAGGGTTTTTACCCATGTATTTAGTGGCTTTTAACACGTACATCCAGATAGCACTGATGATGGAATATTATTTACGAAAACGTTCTATGATGTAGCCCGATAGGGTTTTTAATATATTATACCTTTTATAACGGAATTTCCATATATAGAATAAAGCTATCTACAAGCATTTAGTTTCCTTGTGGATTAGAATAACTTTGTCTAGTTTTCTTTTCATTAAATCATACCGACCAGAGCACCGAGTTTCGAAATACGAACTGTATGCAAAATTGGTATGACAAATAAAGGTGGAGAGAGACATAATTCTTTCTCTTGCACACAGCTTCTTTGGATTTTGCCGATCATCATGAGAATTCTAACTTTAGATACTGCCGTATTGACTGGCGACAGTTCGAACCATTCTAATAGATTGTACAGTCAAGACAATCTAGTGCGTTCTATACTTCTTTAGTCCATGTTTTTTACCTTGCATTATAGGTTGTAGTGTCTCATTTTTGAAGTACAGAAAATATGCTGAAAAAGCTTAAGTTTTATTTCATTGGTATTAAGCGGAGGTGATCTTCAAAATCTAGATTCCTCAGAATCCCTTATATGTGATGTCTGGTAGTTCCTTTGATATGGTGTGATAACATCAATTGATCTTACGCTGTTAGGTTGTGGATTTGTTGGAGTTATAAAAACGTTGATAGAAATCTTCGATTATTTTCCGCGCAATTTCATGTTTTCCCGTCTTTGTCACGCTTTACTTTCTTCTTTTAATCTTTCATTTAAGTTATTTGCGTTTTTCCGTGTGTGGTAATGGATTTCATTACTTTCATATTTTTTTTTGTTCTCTATAACTGTTCTTATGAGTTCCGTGTTATAGTTTCTAATGTCTTCTCTTAATTTTTTCCTGACTTTTTTGTTTTTATTTAGTTCCATTTCTTCTAGTTTACATATCAGTCTTTTCTTCAGGTGAGTGAGTGTAGAAAATCGTCGTGGGCATACTAATTTTTTCCTCTTTTTTCCGGCATTGTTAGTTCCTTCGTCTGACGCCGTTACGTAAGACATTGTATATTTTTTTATTGGATATGATATAGTCGATCTGGTGATATAGTCTATCTCGTTTGAATTTTATTTTTTCTTTGATTAGTTATAATATTTTTTTTTTCATCATCATCAGTATTTTACCTCCAAATTTGAACATAGGCCTTCCCCAATTTCTTCCAGTACTGTCGGTCTTGAGCTTCCTGCAACCAATTCCCAGCGATTCTTTTAACGTCGTCTGTGTGTAGTGAAGTGTTTGGTTGCTGTAGCTTGGGTTAAGGAAAGTGTTTCGACGCCGTAAGTCGTGACTGGAAGCACACATTGGTCGAACATCTTCTTTTCAAATAATTTGGAATGTTGCTCTTGAAGATGTCTGATAGACCTCCATATGCAGCCCATGCTAAAGTGATTCTTTTTTGCAGTTCGGCAGTTTGGTAGTACTAATCCTATTTCGTTGCAGTCGACTTTTGGATTTTCGCTTGGTACCAGATTTGTCATGTATTGTGTCTTTCCAAAATTTATGTTCAAACCAACTTCATTACAGGCGGCATCTAACTCAGTAAGCATAGTTCCAATCTCTTTTAAGTTATCTGTTATCAGAAAAATGTCGTCCGCAAATCGTAGGTGGGAGAGCATTTCGCCATCGACATTGATTCCTTTGGCTTCCCACTCCAATTTTTTGAAAGCATGTTCCAGAACTACAGTAAAGATTTGGAGATAACTTGTCTCCTTGTCTGATTCCTCTTTTGATTTTTATACAGTTTGTATCTTTGTGTATTCTTACGGTCATGGTTGCATTATTGTATATATTCGCGATCAGTTTGGAGTACCGATAATCTATGCGACTTTCCTCCAACGCTCTCATTACGCTGTTAATTTCTATCGTATCGAATGCTTTGCGAAAGCTAGAAAGCCAGGAAAATGTCGTTGTATTCGATGGATTTTTCTATAATCCCTTTTATGCAGTGAGAGTGGTCGTTGATGCCAAAGTTTTTCCTAAAACCTGCCTGTTCCCTAGGTTGGTAAAAATCTAATTTTGTTTCCAGTCTATTTGTTATTATTCTT